CCACCGTTAGAATGCGCCGCCAATTTACGAGCAGAATCAGTATCCAAAACGTTAACGGCAAGTTTCCAAGACGAAAACTTGGCATATCCCAGTACAGGAACTTTGAATATTATACTCATATTTCAGTATTCTCCCTTTTCACCGGGTTCAACTGTTCAACTCTCTTAACATGAAAGGTGACTAGGGTGTTCTGGCGGCGGGAAATAACAGCAGCAATAAGAATGACTCGCCAGTGTCCCAAGGATAGTTTTCCCTACCCACACGAAAGCGACCAACCTGGCAAACTATGACATTAACCCCATATGCCTTTTATGCAATAGTGAATGAAATTTAAAACAAGAGAAATTTTAAGGTTTCTGAGATCGCCAATCTATAGCTAGGCTGCAGTTCGTATTACCAAATTTCTGCCATTCCATTTTTATTTACCTACCACTTTTGGGCATTGCATCATTGAACAGGAGGGAGAAATCGACGTTCGCATTTAATAAAATACATCTCTACTGGTCGAGCCCACCCTAAATTAATAAGAAAATCACTGACTACAAATTTAAACTAAAAACGTTTTTGATAAGCAGTTTCGTTGGTTTCGATGTGTTCATAGCCTAAAGAAAACTTAATTACAATAGCATTTTAACAAATAATGCAATTTCTACATCATGTTCTTTATTTCCAAGTTTTAATAGCTTAACAAAGAAAAAAGTGAAATTTTCGCCATCCCTCATAATTCCACGCATTTTTTGTTACAATACTGTGACAAACGTTAGTGGTACTTACCTCATCGTTGCTTTCGTACTTGTAGCGGCGACTCAACCGCTCCCTCAAATCTACAGCCATCGTCATGGTAACCATGATCAAGAGAATTAATGCCAAGCTCTTGTTCATCCTGATCATGTAAAATGTTGCAACAAAGGAAAGATACTGAAAAATTGTTTTAATGATTTACCAAGGAAGCTAACTGTCCAATTTAGGTTTACTGATTTCTTTGTGGTTTGCAGTGATTAAGTATTTTTAATACAACGAATGGCGGATTAGTTAAACTTTTGTCTCGTATCGTGAAGCCGCCCTGTGGACTTGAATCGTCACGCATATAAATGTTACAAGTGGGTCATAAGCGATCAACCAACCGTTTTTTCTGCCTTTTCTTCGCCCTTCATGAGCTTCCAGGGTTTTATAATAAGCGCTTCTCCTTATTATTCCTCTCCTCGAGTCAAGAATATGTTAATAGCTAGACAATTCTTTCGAGCTAACTCCATTCGCAGTAGTAATGTTCTGTGTAGTTTTGGAGAGGTGTCATGCTTCCCAGCTATTTATTTTTTGGAAAAAGCCCCAACTCCTTCAATTTAGCCTTCTCCCCTCTCCGTCTTCCACCACCATCTTTTCTTCCCTCTTCAAGAGCCGTGGTTTGTGGTTAAAGCCCTTATGAAGTGAAAAGTTTTTTTGGCGTTTTTCTGTCGCTTGTTATGCCACTTCGCTTTCTCAAACGAGTTCAAGACTGGCCCATCTTTATGAGCTTCCAATGACACACGAAGCCAAATTGAGTATGAGACCAGTTTTATCAGCCACTGGAACTAACAACTTTAACCTGGCTAAATGGCTTGAAGAATAATTGAAACCACTTTCTGTGAACGAGTATACTATTACTGATGCGTTTGAATTTGCTGACGTGACATACTGGTCTCTTATGACGTGACGGCCCTTTTTACCAATGTACCTTTAAGTGAGGTTATTAACATCCTGGTCGACAAAGCCTTAACCAACGATTGGTTTAATCAAACCTATTCTCTTAATTTTGGGAAAGAGGAACTTGCACAGCTCCTTGAAGTTACCACCACCAATCAACTTTTCCAGTTCGATGGTCAATTGTATGAGCAGA